GATGCTCTTTTACCTACTGAAAGTGTTCTACTAGTAATTGTTCATTTGAATAGTCAACTACCAAGGGAATCTATGCCCTAGTAATTGTTTCCATTTCTGCTTCAAACTTATTTTCAACTGAAAGTTTGTTCCCTGGTGTTTGATGCTAGTATTTGAATTTTTATGATTAAAAATTTCTAGGTCTTTTCTGTAAATATTTTATACAATGGACATAATTAAGTTAAATATTAAAATCTAGGACAGCCAAAGTGACTCTCTTCTGTAATCCTAGCCCTTGGGAGGCCAACTAGCCTGAGCAAGAGTGAGACCTCCTCTCTATTAAAAATAGAAAAACTAGCCAGGTGGTGTGGTGGGTGTCTGTAGTCCCAGCCATTGGGGAGGCTGAGGCAAGAGGATTGCTCAAACCCAGGAGTTTAAGGCTGCTGTGAGCTATGACTTCACAGCACTCTATCCTGGAGCACAAAGTGAGACTCTGTCTCAAAAAAAAAAAATAGAAGAAGATAAGTTATTTATTAAAATCTATCTCTTCTATGTACATTAACATACTTCTTTTGGATAAAAAAAATTCTCACCTCCTTGGGCAGAAAGGCAGCATAGTAACAGGGGATTGGTCACTGTTAACGTTAAGGGTATCTTCTTTGATGCTGACAAATAAAAGGTTACAGATAAATGTCAAATGAAGGTAAGCTATTTAAAAAATTCTCTGATTCATTTTTCTATAAAAATGTTGCCGTGGGATGAGTTCAATTGAGTTTTAGAACCCAGAGAACAAAGTTTCCATCTCAATTGTCTCAAGATGAACTCACGTAAGGCATATACAGCCTGCAAACACAAAGCATTCATTTCCCAAAGAAAATTGCCCTCCTTGAAAAAATGGATGTGGAAAGGTTGCTAGGTATACTCACACATACCTATCGCAACATGCTATATTAACATATAACACTTCTGAACGAACTGTAACAAGACAATGATAAGTAGGATTTTACAATGTGAGCTCATTACCATGGAATACATTTCTAGATCTTTACTAGATACTGAGTTGTTCTGGAAAATGTTCAAAGTTCATATCAATCACAGACTATTTATTAACCACTATCAAGAATAAACACTTTAAAGATACGTATTTATTTACACCATATCTGTATGCTGTATTTGTATTTTAAGAATGCTAGAAGTGTGACACATCCTTGTTACTCAAAGTGTCACCCACTCACCACCAGCATCAGCATCACCCAGGAGCTTGTTAGAGCCACACCCCAACTTACTGAAGCATAATTTGCATTTCAACATGATTCTCTTATGATTTTTATACCCTTTAAATACATAAAATTTGGGAAACCCTGATAAAAATTACCAATATTTTTTTCTGCATCGTTTGCCACAAGACAGAGTTGTCTGCGAACTTGAACCATGATATACAAAACTATTAGTTTGATGATTCTTAAAATTCTAAACAGATTTAAAGGTTCTAACCAGATACCAAAGCCAATGAATAACCATTGAAATTGTTAAAAGAGACAAGAAGGCAATCTGTTTATTACACCAGGCATACAATCAAGGTAGAAATTTAGGGAGGGGGGAGGGTGGGTGAAGGGAGGGTGATTGGTGGGATCATGCCTATAAGGGTACATGTGAATCTCTCTAAATGTAGAATATAAATGTCTTAACACAATAACTAAGAAAAAACATGAAGGCTATGTTAACCCATTGGATGAAAGTATTTCAAATTGTATGCAGAAACAGTACACTGTACCCCATGATAATATTAATGTACACTGCTATAATTTAACAAAAAAATTAAATTTAAAAAAAGGTAGAAATTTAAATGTTCTTCAAAACAATGTCACAGAAGTCACTTAGTAATACAGGAGGTGCCGAAAGTATACACATTTAAAGAGATCTTGTTGGAAGCGAAATCAATCATTTCCCAAAAGTGTAAAAATTGCAAGGAAAATGGATGTGCATAGCAAGTCTAGGTACACTGGACCAGTAATAGTACTTTTAATTCATTTTCAAAAACTAATACATAGATAACATCTCTCAAAATGTGTATACATTTTTGGCACCCTCTGTATATATTTTAAATCTGAAATGGCAAGTCATCTTAACTTTATATGATAATATATTACCATGAAAGAAAGGCAATCATTATTTTGATAATGGATTAAGTATATATTTTTAAAAATTTTAAGAAGTCTCCAAGACACTTTCATTGGCACTGAATATCTGTATGCATCATCTGCGCCTTTAAACATCTTGTTTCAAACCTGCTTTAAATCTGGGGGCAATCTAAGACTGTTTCTGCAGGACAAGTCAAATGAGAAATCCTCCACTCTGCAACTTGGCTCTTTAATTTAGGCTTCCAGGGAAGGAGGGGCTCTAACTGCACCCTTCTCTCCCTCCAGGCGCCATGCAAAGACAGAGGTAAAGAGATAAAAAGAAACAAAACCCAATAGTTATAACCTAGGTAAGTAGGATTCTGGTAAGATAACTGAACCTAACTTAAGGATTCTGGTAAGATAACTGAACTGTCTTAGTTACAAGGATAACTGTTTTTACTGGAACTAACAAATTCTTTAGTAGCTAGAAATTTTAATTACAGGGAATAAAAAGATTACCTGCTACCGAGGACTGTTGGAAGTATTGTTTTCCATAATGTATTTGGTCCTGTTGCAAAATTAATGTTATTGAATAGATGTATACACACACATATTTACCTATATTTTGAGATAGGTGCACATTGTAAAATAAGTTCACTTCATAAAAAAAGAAGCCTTGTAGAAAACCACGAAACCATTTAACAATCTTCAAAAGTTAAACAATATAGCTACATTGAAACATCTCTTAGCTGAAATCAGATGTTTTTAAAACACCGGCCAAAAGCAACCCACGTGTTATAACTAATGTTTGAATTAGTGTTACAACAAGAGTTTAACTAGCGATTACAAGACTGTTCCATACTCACATAAAGAGCATGGTAAGAACAGACCCCCTACCAGTGGGGAGGGCCAGGTTGGAGTCATGTCACATGTCATTTTAAACAGAAACTTTTATGTCTTAATTGTAGAACCAAAGCTTTGTGATAAGAACATGTAAAATATCAGTTTTACCTGTGAGGGTGAATGATCACCCAGTACAGGGAAGGGATGAGACAGACTTTGGAAAACGTGGCTCCAAATTCTGGTTCTACACTTGTGGTTCTGTGGCCTTGGATGAATTCCTTGGCTTCTCTGCCTTAGTTTTCTCACTCGAAAAAAATGTGTTTTTGTGACTATAGCAAAATACCGGGTAAAGCACCCCGCATAGGGCCTAGCATACACTGTGATCAATAATAGCACAGATTTTGTCATCTGAATTCTTATTAGTAGAGATATGCAAATAAGAACCACCATTTTTTCACAAAAACATCATTTATTGCTTTACAACCTCATTATGGATATTTTTTCAGCCCATGCCCAAACCAACTTACCTTTGTCAATTGTCCCATAGAGAGGTTATTATATTTTAAGTGATTTAGAACAGACTCATAAAACTCAATCTTCCAACTTCATGAAATGTTCAAAAGAAATGTTTTAAAGGCATCAACTTGATTCGATTGCTCATACAGTGAAACATATTGAACATTCTTTCCCGATTCTTAAATATTTCAGTCCCTCTCTTTCTTCCATAAGTAACCTCAGGGAGGAGACACAGATTCAAGTAGAGGATTTATTCACACTTGTGCTACATTAGAAGAGGCTTTGGAGAGATGGCTTCAGTGTGCAGGCTACCAGAATGGTCTGACTCCATTGTGGGCATAACATCTGAGACAAACCAATGAGGTTAATTTATTACAAATGATTCTCCAAGGACCCAGAAATACTGATCTCGCTGCCATCTGAACAGGCTAAGTCGATGTTCTTCCAAGAAATTCTTCCACTGGTTATATAGATGCAACTATAAATCCATTGCAGATGGAGGGAAGAAACCTGTGTTTACATCTGTCTATACTAACAGAAGGGACACTCAGACACACTGGTGTCACAGTAAGTTTAAAATGAATTCTTCTTTGTTGTTTCCTGACTAAATTCTTGATCTCTGAAAACAGGCAATACAGTTTTTATTGCGTTTAATTTTTTTGTGTGTGTGTGAAAAGAAGGAAAAGTTTTCCAAACTTAACTTTTCATGAACAGCCACACAGTCATTCTGCTTGTCACTTTACAGGATATAGCTGATGTAAATCACAGTCATGTAGGTATGTTATACACTTACACATCTTATTAAAATAGGGGACCACCTGTTTCAAATGCATTTTGCACCACAGACAATAGGAACCAGAAGAACTTGGTCTATAACAGTGGTTCTCAGCCTTCCTAATGCTGTGGCCTTTAAAACAGTTCCTGTGGCTCGCCACCCACAGGCTGAGAACCACTGGTCTATAATATTTAATTCTAATTGTCTCAATCAGGAATGCCTATTAATACATTTTCAGATAGAAATAGTAAAGGTAATGCTTTCATATTTCATCATAGCTTCACATTTTATTTTTCAGAATATACTAAAATAAATTTAACCTATTTTGATAGCTATTATTAACATTTTTTTCCTTTTATTTCCCCAAAACAATCAGGCTGTAGCTTATGAAACTATAATGGTGGATCTAATCAATCATAGTTCATGTGAAATTCAAAACTTATTTCATGATTCATTTTAGAAAGGACATATTGAAGAACTATATTGAAAAATGACTCTCTTGATCCTGGCTTTACACGGCAACATTTGAAACTAGTGGTCAAGCTAACACAGGCAACCATGCAGAAGGAATTGTACCATTTACAGAAGTACCAAAATAATCCTTATGGACAGTAATTGCTGAAAGGAAAGAAAGAATGGATAAGAATGGGTTCATGATTTCAGTGTTGGTGCCTTGTTACTGAGTTCATGTTAACAAAATCAGGTCCCTTCCAAACATAAGTATGTAAACTATTATTGTTGACTTGAAAGGGATCATGTTCTGTTATATACATGCAGCATTGAAACTCCAGCTTCACATTAAAAAAAATAAAAAGATGTCTGGAAAAAGTAATTCTTCCTCCATAACTCAGATTTATTTTAAAGTCCAGGTAAAAACTCTGGGACTCATTTACTTTTCATAACATTGTGGTCATCTCATATCCCTTCTTTTCCCACCCACCAACAACCTCCCAATAAAATATAAAGCAAAAATCCCTACCCCAAACACAACGAAATAATATTAAGCAAAAAAAAAAACTCAACAATGTTTTAAATGGTGAAAACACTGGTCACATTATTTTCACTTCAATCACTTAACTCATCTAAATGGCGTCATTGCATCACGAATGCTAAGTGCTCCTGTGGCTTGACAAAGAATCCAGTGCAAAGAATTCGGGGAAGCATCTCAGTCCTCGCCGGCAGTGGGAGTGCCGGGGAAATGCGGGGTCCTCTAGGCGGGACACTACACGTCGCTGGGTGACCGTGCTCTCTGGGCGAGGCTGGACGGGATGCAGCCACAGCAAATGAGGCAGAGGGCTTTCTGGATCTCTTGGTTTCTGAAAGCATATATGACAGGGTTGATGATGGAGTTGTAGGTGGCAGGCAGAAGGGTGGCGTAGGTGTAGATGGAAGGGTAGGTGTAATCTGCTATCAAGGAATAGAGGGTGAAAGGCATCCAGCAGGCGGCGAAGGTCCCCAGGATGATGGCGAGGGTCGAGACCCCTTTGCGGGTGGTCACGTAGTGCGACGTGGCCAGGAAGTGGTGCTGCAGCGCTATCTGATGGGCGTGCCGCATCACGATCTTACAGATCTGGACGTAGAGCTGAAGCATGAGCGCAAACATGAAGAGGAAGGAGACGGAGAGGATGGCCGTGTTGTTCTTGGTGAGCGGTCTGACCACGCTGCAGGTGGACTCGTCTCGGAGGCAGTTCCAGCCCAGCACGGGTAGCAGCCCCAGGCAGATGGAGGTCCCCCAGAGCATGACCAGCATGACATAGGTAAACGTGACCGTCCTCTCCGAATGGTACGTCAGAGCGTAATACAGCGAGAGGTAGCGGTCAACAGTGATGGCCAGCAAGCTGCAGACAGAGGCAGAAAAAGAGGCTACAATGAGGCCGATCGTGACCAGCTTGGTGGCTTCCGACTGAAGCAGGTAGGCAAAAACAAAATTGATGATGAGGCCAATGCCGGCCAGCAGGTCTGCAAGAGCCAGGCTGCCTATCAGCAGGAACATGGGTGCTCGCAGGCTGGGGTTGTGGAAGATGATGAGGACCACAATGGCATTTTCACAGGAGATGAGGGTCCCCGAGGTACACAAGACAATGTCCCAGGGGTTGACTACCAGCTCAGGCTCTGGCTCTACCACAGGAACCTGGTTGGAGACAGCAGCCGAGACGTTCTCCGCGGCAGCGGCATCTAAATAGTCCCGAGGCAGCCCGCTTAAATTGACCTTCAGGTCTTCATTCATTTTAACCCCTGTCCTCTTCAACGAAAAGACAGGCTTTTTAATGTTTAGATACAGCAGGGGGACAGTCCAAGATCATGCAACAAGACAAAACAAAAACACAGACACACACAAACAGAAAGCCAGCCCCTGTTCAGATACCAGTATCAAACGCCACAGGCTTCGGGAATTACAAACTGTTGTTAAATAAAAACAAAAGCCAAAGTCTCCGTGGTTTAAACTCTGCAACAAAAACCCCGTTTGGCAGTGGGGAAAACACAGGGCAGGACTTCAAAACGCGAGCGCAAGGGAGGCAGGCACACAGGGACTCGCGGGGCTCTGTCTGCTAAAGCGCCGGGAATGCACATTCGAAAATCACATCTCCATGCTGAAAACCATCAACTGTTTGACATTTGGGCTGCTGCCGAGAAAACCACGAGGCTGCGGCCAGTCGCTAGCTGGAGCCGCCATCCTCGATGGAATATTTAAATCGCCCATTTCCATCAAACTCCCACCCTCCAGAAACATCCCTCTCGCGCGTGCACACTCTCAAGCATACCTCCGACTGGAACAAAGAGGGGGTCCCAGACTCCCCCCGTGTGCCCGGGGCAGTCGGGGAGGGCTACAAAAGGCAGGTGTGTGCAATGGAGGTGCCAAGACAGACAGACAGACAGACAGACGGATGCCCATGCACTGCCGCCACTCCCCCTGCGGCGGGGACAGGTGGCAGACCCGAGAGGGACAGAAAGGCCACCGGGACAGGCGGCCCGCGGGGCCGGGGTATCATCGAGGGGGTCACCTTGGCGCGCTCAGGCCGAGGGGGCTCCTCTGGTGGTTCCAAAGCTTGCGGGCTACTCGTGTCGCATGTCGCCGCCGGTGCCCGTGGCGG